AATATGAGTATTCATATGAAAAGTGATTTAAAATTATCGTGCGATATAAAAATATTAGAGACACTTAGACAATTTCCTTTCTTATAGCGGGAAATTACTCTTTACATAAAAGATTTACAATATACAATGCGTAGGTTGTTAGGAAAGTTTTGTATGTGCATTTATAGATCTAATTATCGATAAATTAGTATCTGCCAGTCTGAATAAGATAATTATGGATAGTACACTGTTAAGAACTGAATTATTAGGACACAGTGAATACATTTCGATCCGGAATATATAGATAATGGTAAATAAAACGTGAGAAATCTGATCTAATGAGAAGATAATAATGATCACTGGTTTTATAAACTCGAAATAATTGGATAAGTATTGTTGAGTATTCTTTAATATCAGAAAGGCATCACAGCTATACTGGTGTATTAATTATTGTCTATCATAAATTCTTCGGTAATACATAAAGTTATTGAATGTTTAAAATTTATAGAAGATACTCGGAAATATTTTATTGTATAGGACAAAGCCTTCCTAACATCCTACGTCTACTACCAGTTTGAAGAAATCGTGATCACACACGTGGACGTGGGTGCGTGTGTGTGTGTGTGTATATATATATATATAAATCATACTGAACTTCCGTACAGAGTAAGTCTTTGTATAAATTTATTGCGCGCTCGCTTTAGCTTTACTTATCGGTAATATAAAAATTTAATAAATAAATATGACACCAACTGCAAGTGTAACGCGTGAGTTTACTTATGGCATTAAAAATACGTTCGTTAAACGTTGAACTGATGCTTCAGCTAATTTTATACGCTGCTAAAAGATTCGCTACGTTTCACAATTGGAAATAAGCGAATTCCTCACGACGGTCGGGAAATTCCAACGCGAAGTTACTTTTTCATTTTGAAGAACGTTCACGGTTTCCTGCTATAATTTTGGAAAATATTTGTCTGTTTCAGTGTACACTGATTCACCTTAATTTGTATCAGTATTATCTCCAGAGAAAAATAAGTCGAACGAAATAAATCAAAGATAACGTGGTTTCAATAATTCTGTAACTCCGATTTATTCTTGACGAATAAAATGTCAAGCGGCGAAAGTGTTAATAAAAATTGATTATATTCTCGGTTCTTGAACCTGTTGTGCCCTGATCGTAGACTGTACACCTGATCTCAGGTTTCATGCTGTTGACCAGACGTGGCCAATGAAAAAATGCGAAAGTCAGCGTGTAGTGTCAAGAATACTTTAACATATCTTGGAAAAAAAATGTCAAATATAATAATTCCCGTGCCTGAGATAATAAAAGCAAAGCGACGCACCTAAAAAGTCAGACGTTATAAGATAATGTACAGTGAGTCATATTTTCTGGCTTGATCAGTAAAAAATTTCTGGTTTTCAATATGGTGCACTCTAACTTTTGGCTTATTTTCCTCTAATGGTAATAATATTGTATACAAATTAAATTTATCATTTTGGATCTTTCAAATTAGAAGACATGACAAATTAATATTTAGTTGTATGTTAAGTATTTTTGCTAAAAGTCTTTTGGTGCAAATAATTAAAAAGAAGCATAAAATAGTTGGATAGTTTCTATGAGAAATTGGCTTATTTCAATTCTTATTTCTTACCCTGTAGATATAATTACTAGAAATTACGTGTATATATATGATGTTTATGCCATTAAATGTATTAATATATGAATGCACCATAGAAAATGCAATAAGAGATGGTATGTTTGACGAAAGAAAATGTTAAAGATAAATTGACTTATATTTTTCTCTTTTAATATAAGATTGTAAGGAAATATATATTTTTTAAATAGAAAGCATCGTAAAATATTTGGAAATTGACGAGTCTGTTGGCAATAGCTTATATTATGCCAATTGAATTATTGTTTATTTTTCTATTGAACTTTGAGTAAATAATGCTTAAGTGTTCTTCTACTTTGCAAACATACCATGCTTATTCGATTGACACATAAAGTATATACTTTTTGAATAATGGTAACAAATGTATAGAGAAGATTTGTCATAAAATAGTCAAGATTATGCTCCGAAAGAGACAAATAAAATTCGTCTTATATACGTGTATACTTCTAGAGAATATTCATGTCGCATTATGTACAATTTCATATGTACTTTATGGACAGATCATTCCTATTCACCGCACTGTTGTACCAACTACTGAAAGTAATATCTAATACTCCTGTATGAATACCATTTCAAACTAGTAAGTATAAATTATATTGACGTACGATTCAATATGTTTGGTATTTTTATCTAATAAAAAATAATTCTCCATTTTAAATTATAAAATTTTCCTCCTTTACATTACTTTCTTTTATATTATATAACTCTATCTCTTAATATGAACTTGTTGCTTCATAAATACATATTATATTAATATTGATTATAATTACCATTAAATAATTATCAGCACTGACACGACTAGTAAATGACTGATCTGACTCTCTTAATATGGACACTAGATATCGTACTAACTGTGATACTAATATTGCTCCTTGAATAATTATCAAGTCGTTTTAATTTGTTCGTAATTGTCAAAACGTTAAAATTATTATCAAGTTTTCATATTAAATGGTATTCTGCCTTTATGCTCTCTAATAATAATTTTGAGTATTGATGGTGATGATGGTGATGATGATGGTGATGATAATGATGATCGTGATGGTAATGATGGTGATGATAATGATGGTGACGACGGCAACGACGACGAAGAGAATGATGGTAATGATGAGGATGATGACGATAATGACGTCGATAGAAAACAATGTGCTAATATCAAAAGAAGTAACGATTCTAATAATCTTGATAATGATAACGAAAACAGTAATAATAACGGTACTATAATTAATACCTTATAATAATAAAAATAATGATAATCATATTAATAATAACAGTAACAACAACCAGTCACACATGCGACCAGACGACTGAGACTATGCTTAAAATAGATACTGTTTGACTGTGGAGAACATTCATTTTACGTTATTCTAACGTCTAGAACTCCTTGGTAGACACAGAGCGTTCCACACATTGTTCAATCGAATTATTGTCTGCGTTCGTTATTGCGTGAACAAGAAATTTACTTTTACACATCGCACATCGACAATAAAAAATTTTGCTTCATTAACAATCCGTTAATAAATAAATTGCTTTGCATGCAACATTAACTTGTTTTTGAAAAATTCATATACTTCTCATCGGAAGTAAAAGATAATACATGTATCTTAACATACAAAGTTCAGTGGTACACTCTGCGTATACAACTGCATAATTTTACTCCAAGCAGACAGCGACACTCAACGAATGAAAATACTTCATATCTATCGCTTTAAGCTGGTTGCTTCTGGTATTTAAGTTAACGATCAAAGAAAATCTACTAAACATATATATATATATGTAAATACATATATATAAAAATGTTCGTTTAGAACAGTTACACTTTCTAAACCACAAAGAGATTCTCCACAAAAAAACATTCATAGAAACCGTAAAATATGTATTTGCCTTTCAATTGTCTCTCTTTTTCGCACACACATTCTGTTTTTCTCTTTCTTTTGTGCTGAAAGAACAAGGGGGAGATCAAAAAGCAGAAGTGGGGGGGTCAAGGAGAATACTCATGGATGAACGATCTTGCAACTAAGATCAGCGAGCAAACAACCCACCAGAATGATCAGCAGTCGTGTATTCCGTGAGCAGAGGTGATCCTGCCAGGGCTGCGTAATTGGCGTAATCAGCGTACGGCGTGTAGATTAATCCGTGAGGATCGCCGGCAGAGAGAAGCGAGCCTGGCGGGCCTGAACCATTCAGAAGAGACGCCGCGGTCGTTGGTACTGATATCCGCGGTGAGAGTATTAGCGGTGCACCCAATGGGGCGCTGGGTGTCCTCATAGGTGTGGCCAGACCCGGTAGAAGTCGTTGCGTTTCTGCCGCGGCCACCGCGACGCGTCTCCATTCCTCGTCGCAGGCTGAAACGTTCAATAGATCTAACTCTAAATTATACCATTGTAACACTTTATCATCCTAACGGCTACCATATCTTAACACGTTCGCGGGTGCTATATCATTCATTTCTATTGTGATGCAAAATTAAACGAACGCTACAACGTTCAACTTTATAAGCTACTTTATAATGTATTTAATTGTATACAGCCTTAATTTTTTGAAATTATTATACACTTTTATTCTTGGTGTACTGCAGCTCGTTAAATTTGTACTGTCCGCGAACGTGTTAACACTAAAACTACCGTGCCCGTTAAAATGACTGATCTAAGTTTTCCTATTTTGCAATTGTTGATATGTTGAAAGTATAGTCTGATATGACTTTTGAGAATAAATAGTTAAACTCAATAAGTGCTCGGTAGTTCTAGTGTTAAATGATGCTGAATCAACTATTATTTAGTTTGAAAAATTAGATTATTAAACTTTATAGACAATATAGTTAGAAGACAGTATTCCTCTGTTCAAGAATAAAATTCTTTAAGTTTAATAATTTAGTTTTTGTATATAATGAAGTACAGGAGAATGTTTTCTTGAGGCTTCAGATGATACAGATGATAGCTATAAATAACAAAGAGATGAGTTCAGTATTCTTTGAACTTTCAGTTGTGGAATATTCAGATGATGAAAACATGAATGAAGGAAGCATGTTTTTTGATATGTACCTGTAACCGCAGCCACTTTTGTGTTGGAATCCCGGTAGGTACCATTTATGATAGCGAGCTCCATTAACTGTCGCTTTTTCAGTTCATCCTCCCCATCAGCCTGCTAACAACCAACATGATTGGTAAGAAAAATATTAATACCGATCGTGTGAATCCTGGAAGCTCAATGTATTAATAATACTTTGATTCTTTCTACATACTTTTGACTATTTCAAATCATAAAATTTCAATCATTTACATCAATAATAATCAAGCTTACACAAAAGATTAACGTGTAACAAACGTTCAGATAATCGAATGTTCGTAATTAGGGTTCAACACGATTGGTGGACTAATTACTAAAGAATGAGCACATTAGTAACAACGAGACGAACGGGTAACACAATTCCCACTGGATGAATCACAAAATTACAGACGTAAGAAGAAGCGAGAGAAATATTACATAATATTATCGGTTATAGTTATATTTAATAATAGGAACTTTCTCACCACGGGAACAAGGAGTTTCTTGACTTCTTCCACAGCTCTGGCAAGTTTTAATGTGGCACGATTTTCAGTATCATCGACTGTTAATAAAACATGCAGTTCATCCGTTAGGTGCTCCCAGTTTGGTTTACCTCGATTTAACTCCTCCTGGTAAATAAATCACAACGACGATTAATTAATGGTTAATGATTATCGTATTTAGTACAGAAGAGTCTTGAAATACAATTAAGTCAATCTCTTTTAATTACTATGAAAATATCGACTGTTCATCCTACAAAATGAACACAACGAATGATCACAATGTCCTCGTGGTACATGTTCACAAAAAATAAACAAAAATACGTAACATAAATTCTGATTATCGTAATTCTTCCTATATGTACTTACGATGAAATTTTCTTTCATACATCATATGCAGCTTGAAAAAGAAATATTTCTTACTTTAGTAAAAGAAACTATCGTTTATTATATTATACATTAAACCTTTATTAGAAGTATTGGTTTCTGAAATATTTTTGTTCCTGGTGTTTGCATAATTAATTAATGCGACACAAGTTTCCTCGTATGTTTCAGAATTCTTCAGAGAACAAAGCAAAATTTTACGTCGTTTTAATGATCTGAATATACGTATACATGTTTTTCTTCTTACAGGAAATACAAGTCAAGTCCTCTTAAAATAATTCGTGTATTTTAATCTCCTATTTACCGAAGCTTTTTGTGGCTTGCAATTGAATGTATAACACCGCCTATACTTTTGGACGCGCAGCTTGTTGAAACAAAAAACCGACCTCCACAGCCTGCACTCTCACTTCTCTAAAAATACCCCGGGACCATCAATTCCAGATGGATTGTAATCGGTATGAACCTCCGGGGAACTTGAATCTATTCTCAGGAGAACCAGAGAAAGTTAACCAAACGACGAGCTTTCGGGGAAACATTTTTCGAGATTTGTTAACCCTCCGTCGGCCGAATTTTCGTTCGTAAATATACTAAATATTCTTGAGGACTGCTCAACGATCAACGAGAATTCTAAAAAAAATTGTTTGTCGTTCCACACGTTTCACGATCTGGTATCTAATAATTATTGCACGTAAAAGTGGACAATTAAAACTGGTGATTTTCACTTTACGATAAGACGGTACGCGGCAACTGTTTATTCTAAATGCCTTGGATTAAATCTCATCGAGTTCGTTCCGTAGTTAATGTTTTCACGTTCATGAATTTTACGATGTCTCTGGTGCGTGAAGAAATTTCTGAAATCTGCCAACAAAAGTGTTTACCTTCTTTTTGTCCCTCATAGATCCTTTACCCCGCACCATGATTTTGCATCCTGTTTCTTGCTCCAATTGCTTGGCCGTCATCCCGCGTGGTCCAAGGATTCTCCCAACAAAGTTAAACTGTAAATTAAAAAATCAAGCATATAGCATAGTCGTGTATATTTCGATAAATGCTATTATCATGTGAAATCAGGCCAAGGAAAACGTGCTTACACAAGCATTACCTGGGAATTGTTACAATACAAAGGGTTACAAATATATTTAATTTATGGAACTGTGCACGAATTTGAGAAACAGTTGCCAGTGATGATATAATCTCAATCTCTTAACATTACAATTACTTCGTTTCGAATTTGAAGAGAATTTGATACAGTTCTACATTTTTAATCCGCTGGAACTAATAACGAAAAGAAACACGAAGATCTAGTTAATTTCGGTTGCCCTAAATCTGTCCTCCGAAATGTGAATTCGCATAAGTTTTAGAGCATTTCCGGAAGTCGTGGGAGTACCATCATTGCGAAACTTTTACTGAATCTTAAAATTAGACCGCGGACGTTGTCGAAAGTGTTCATTCGAGGTGCATTTAAAAGTCCGATTAAATATTCAACGCGAAGATTACGCGATGAGAAGTTGGTTCGAAATACTTACATCTGGATGTTCTTTAACAGGTACATAGACTTTCTCTGTCAACGTCGTGATCTCGCCCTCCGGTTCTGGCAAAACCAGTGGTTCCTTTTTGACACCACTGATTTGGAATAAACTTGCCCGCACCTTCGCGATTTCTGTAACAAAAAAGAGAGAAACCGTGTAGTCGAAAGAACCCAGGAATCATTGCTGCACTAGATCTTTAACGCTGAAATTACTGACTAATTAAATTGACTTTTAAACATTTTTTTTTGTAGAAACTGTAAGATTGCATTTATTAAGATATCGATTGATGTTTTAGTTTGATTATTACTAAATCAACTACTTCAATAATTTCTCAAAGAAGCATTTGTTTCTTTTCAATAATTGCGAAAGAAGAAATGAGGAATGGATCAGTCTGACCTATCTGGTGGTTCTAATGTTAAAGAACAAAAATTCTAATTTCAATAAAACGCTTCTATTATGCATCAAAACGATTGACTTCGGTTAAATAATTTTTATAATGAAGATTCTTTTAGTATTCTGCATTTCAAAGTGAAATCGAAGGGGGTGGAAGAGGATGATAACTTTTAATCTAGAATTTCTATCAGTTCTATTTCATTTGTGATCATATTTATTTCTCATTGCTCTTGAACAATTTAATATTTAAAGCAGCTCCGTGATCGCAACGTGTCGATCGGTGATGATATCGGTAAGAATAAAATAATTCCAAAGGGGTGAAATCAACCCCTTTATCTTGATAGATATTGTATGCACGATATCGTGTATAATCAGGAATATTTGTTACAAAACAAATACAGTTATATAAATAAAATTCTTTGTTTAACAATGAAGAAACATAAGGGTTGATATCACCCTTCCAAAATGAGTTTCCTCGCAAAGTATCTGGCAAGGATCGCAACGGCAGGCGGAGTTCTCGCGGTTTAATTTAACAAAAGCTCCTCCTATTTTAAAACAGCAATAATATTTACGCAAAACTGATGCGTGCGCGAATAATAATGTTATGAAACGTATGTCCTTCAAACGCAGCTCTCACAGGAATCTACAGTACCGAAGCTTAGGGAGTGGAAGTGACTAGAACGACCTCTATTTCGTAATTTTAGTGTCGTGACCAACGTTGCCGACTCGGAACGAAACGAGTTCGCAGTCCCATTAGGCGGTACGAATGAAAATTGAACACCTCTTTGAAAAAGCATTTAAACGAAGAAACATTAATACATTATATCTTCCCAAGTTTCAAAACAGTTTACATTTGAAACCTCCCAAAAGATTTTCTATAATTCAGCTTCACCCACTTCTTGAAGCTTTCGAATAGGCGTGTCCTGAAAAAGTTGTTCCAGCAATTTGCCATTACGAAGACCCTCAATATTATCAAACACCCTTCGAGTTCCTAAGATTTCATAAATTCCTCAAAAGGTTTGCAAAAGAACGCAGTTTGTCCTAGGAAGCTTTAACAAAGGAAACAGCTTGATACAAACCTAAAAGACAAATCATTCAAATCGAACAAGTAAGATAATTCCAGAGGATCTATCGTGAAAAAAGAGTCAACGGCTGAACGAAGCGAATGTTGAAATATCCTATTGCATCGTCGACGGACACTAGAAAGCAAAATCGGCCAGCCCCTGATTAAACATTCCGCGGAGCGAGGAAAATGGCGGCAACGCGAAAACCGAGATGGTGAAGTGTGCTCGGCGTAGTCAAGTAGACTTCCGCCAGCCGAAGACGCCGGACTCTCGCGTTCATCTAACTTTCTAAGCGATCGCGATTTTACGTTGTTACATTATCCTACGCAGTCCAGCGATTCTCGTTCAACTTGTTCCGACGAACGTAAGTATCTGCATACAGTATATATCGCCGCTGCGGGGACATAACGTTCAATTAGATGAAACTTATGGTTGCCTAGAAAATCCGCTACGCCTCTACCGTGCAACACTTTCTCCGTTCGATGTGAAAAGATTATCATACATCTTCGGCACTATGAAACGCACAAAGAATTCCGCTGTACGCGCCGAAGGATTCGAGGAGTCATTCTTCAAGACCGTGTGAGAACCGAACAGAAAGTCTCTTGCTCGGTGTATTTGGATGGAATAGAGGATAGAAGGCTGAGGGGCTCGTCAAAGTGTACATACCAATGAATGGCGGATAGGTACGCGTGTACACGTGTGCGTAAATATGGAAATGCGAACGGAGACGGAAGACACAAAGTGTGCGCGAGCGGAAAGGACACAGAATCATATCCAGTTTTAGCAACATTGCTCATTACGGCTGACATCAGCTGCCTTGCATTCCCGGCTTCCTTGGTTGCTCCGCGCCGCGACTCTTTTGTTTCAGCCTCCAACGTTTCTTACCGCAAACCAGGATAGCATAGTGCCGTTGTACATTGTTTGGCAGCGTTCCGTTTACGAGATGGAACTGTTAAGCGAAAATCGAAGATAGGGGATTGACCCTCTGCACTAGAAAGTTTTCCACTGGAAGCATTCAACGCTCTCTAATGAGATGCAGATGATGCTTTTCGAAGCTAATTTAACGATAATTGATATGTAAATTAAAGGATAATATGAAACGTTAAACTCTGTCATCGCGATGTGTAGAGTCAAGGACCGACAGTCACGTCTGTTATGTCTTTAATCAGTTTTTTGAAGAGGATTTCTATAATGATTCGAGATTTACACTATAACCGAAGATATTACGCGTGGAAAGTAAACTGCGAATATCTCAGGTGAACGTAACGCGTCCCGAGGAGGAAATGTTTGCTTCGGAATTATAAATATTTGATACTCAAGGGGTTAGAACCGCTGCTTAAACGTTGACGCAACGTAGGTATGTACGACGTCGACAGCGATTGTCCGAAGTGGCAGAGATAGATTAAGGAAGTCCTTGTCGCGTCGCGTATAGTCGAGCTAATGAATTTACGATTTACAATTTAATGAATCATTTAATGCCCGAGTGATTCACATAGTTTTGAGAACCGCCGCTCACAGCTTGCGACGGTTTCTGAGGTCTGCAGTCATCGGCAAACGCGGAGCGCACGGTTTTCTTCCGACGAGCCAACGAAAAAACCGGATTACCCATTCCGATCGAGGGTCGTTCGATCGGTGGGATCGTTTTACGTATTTCCTATAAATGGAATCCGCGTTGCAGTCGTTTCAATCATTTCAACGAGACCCGTACGCTTCAATAGCGTATTCATGTCGAGTAAAAACCGCTGAAATGAAATGAAACGCCGCTAAAGGATCTACGGTGTAAAAAATGCTTCGCGTGTGTCGCAACGGAATACATAGATCTATCTAAGCATGGGCAATGATGCTGGATCGGGTGGTATAGGTGCAGCATTTATGACATCATCGCTGTCGTAATCACGAAGACTACAATCCGTGGCATAGATCACGTGCTGGAAGAAAGAGATTTCGCGCTTAGAAGGCGTGCGGACGGTTTACTTTATGAAACTTCTTCACAACAACAATGATTAAACATTTATTAACCCCTTGTCCTGTGATTTATTTCTTAACCGTGACCGATACAACTACTATGTTGCTCAGAACTGATTAGGAAAGGAAGACATTTTTATGCTTTTCTATGTTTACGTTTTACTTCAAAAGAAATCAGCAACACTTAAACTTGCCAATGAAATGAATTTAATTGCAATTTTCGTCGCGAGTCCGACGATACTGTAGGTCAAGGGGTTAACGAAATATCTCGACAAAATCTGATATACCATTGTTCTTAATTTCGAAACATCCGAATGATTTCGCAGCTTATTTACCACCGCAACTCGAGGTTGTAAAATTCTCGAATGCATAATTTCACATCGAAGAAGCATTTAAATCAATTTTTTGATCAACTTTCGTAGCCTTTGTCGAAGTGCCACCTTGGTGTTACGAAACGACTCGTCCAGCAAAATAACGATCGTTTATTGATTTACGAACACAATTAATTGAGAACGAATCCGTGAAGAAGATATTGCAAACACGAACGTTTCTCTTTCAAGGAACTTTCAGATTTGTTCAGTTCTGCGACTGACAATGAGGAAAGCCGGGGACGACCAGGCTAATTGTAAGAGGCTGTGCGTTACATTTTGCCGCGTTCCGTGTAACGAGCATAATAAGCGCAGGAACTGAAAGTGGTTTAGTGTCGCGGGTATGTAACAAGTATGTAAATCGTTGTACAGGAATAAACGCGTTGTTGTTCCGAGCTTCTGTTTAATCCAATACGGCATAAATTGACGTTACCGCTGGACGGCCACGCCTCTTAAGCAATTCAAAACTTATTTTCACGCAGTGAGTCAGATGGATATATTTATAAAGCGGTGCCCAAGAAATATAATACTAACGTTAAATTGTGTCTACCAAAATCTGTGTTGCGGTTACAACGATACGACAGTCGAAAATAGCGAGAAATTGGAACATCCGAGTCGGGGATTTTTCGAACGCGACTAGCCGCGGAATGTTCCCCGCGAGCGATACCCTAAACTCCGCTCGAAGCCAACTGAAAATTAATTGACGACTTCCTGAGGAATTCGTCAAACGATTGCAGAATTATTTTCCGTTAAGATTCAGAAGTGAACGACTGGTTTTTCACCATTTCCGTCCGAAGAATTCACTTGAACGGAGGAAACACGACGATCGTTGAAAAGCAATTAGTCTAACAATGCAGATAGCGATCGATGTCGTTCTCGTGTTGCCGTGGTTCATAAGTTTCGTTCGATTCCTGTTCCACGGGCAGAGACGCGCGCGCGCGTCACTGTTATTAGTTATTAGGTTTACCGTGTATCAACGGTTAATTTCACCTACATACTACGATGTTCCCGTTCGATCGCCGCGACCACGTAAAACCAGTTTTCAGCATACTTTCCAAAATATACAGTGAGTCAGAGAATTATTGGCACGGGCGCAAGCTCGATGAAGTTTGAAGTGAGGAGACGTTCAACTGAAATCATTCTAATATTTGTTTATTCCTCGTTAAGCGTAGCCCTGTTGGCGGCCGATTAAAAAACCGTGACATAACAGTGACGAAGAACCGAGGTAAATACGAAGGACCCTAGCCTCCACGTCGGTCGCCATTGCCGGCGGGCAAAGCTAACGGCAAAATCACTCGCAAGTGACACCGTCAGCGATAGGAGTGATTCAAGTGATGCTCA